CGGTCACGTGACGCACGAAGAAAATCGGTCGACGCCTCTATCAGAAGTGTAAGTGTGAGGAGCCGATATGAAGAAGTGGGGAAGTTAGTGCACGCCCCTCAGAAGCACAATAAGAGAGTGGGAGTGAGAGGAAAGTTCCCGAAAATGGAAAAGAGTAAAAAAATCCCTAACCAGAAATAAGAAGGGTGGATACGTATTTAGAATTATCAAAGAACCCCTGGTGCCGACAGACCCACCCCAGTTTTGACGGCGTCAATAAAAGCGAGACTCCAACCGACAGAAATGAGTTGAGCCGCGGACGGCGGGCCGAGTTCGCCCGCCCCCTAGTGGGCAGAAGAGGCCAGTTCGTTTGGCCTGAGTGCAGAAGTTCGTTCAGACTCTGGAGAGAAGAAGTTTGAGTTCAGCCGCGGACCCTGGCGAGAAGTTTTGAGCCTTGGACGACAGGCGGAGATGAGTGACCAGTAATTCAGACCCTGGCGAGAAGTTTTGAGCCTTGGACGACAAGCAGAGATGAGCGACCAGTGTTGAAACCGCATCAAGATAGCTGACCAAGATTCACGCACACTTTTGGACTCTTCTTCAACCAAGAACAAGTAGTTTGAAGAGCGACTTAGAATCAGACCACAGAAATAAGTTTTTCGACTTTCGTCCAAAGACACACCGAAACACAAATTTCTTAGAGAGCAGACAACTTGAAGCCTTAAAGTTTGCCTAGCGAAAGCGTCGTGCCACAATCCACAGAACGGGTCGGGAAGTAGACATAGTCCTATGTACCGAACAAATAGACATAAAAAGTTTGTTACCTTTTTCTTTGATACTTTGGACTTTGTGAGTTTTCATTTTATTTTCTTTTATACATAATTGTGTGTTATCACCCCCGTTGAACTCAGCTTGCATTACGGCCCCAACCCCTGTTTGATCTCGTCTGTCTAAGATCAATTCACAACGTGGGTAGGCAGACTGGAGATCAGTGCAGTTACCCTGGTAACCAGGCGTTGGAAGCAGGTTGGGAACGGCGAGGCTGGTATCAATCTAACCAGATTCCTACCCGAATCACCAAAGGGTTAGAACGTCACGTTTGGAGCAGCGAGGAGCGAACAGCTGACGCCGCGGCGAAGACGTCACAATTGGTGCTGTTTGGGGACGTCACATCTGACGCCGTGACCGGGACATCAGAGCCTGGGGCAGCCACGTGACGTCACCTGGCGCCGTGATGGATCAGGATAGAACGTCACAGTCGACGCTGCGACCGGGGGACGACGTCACAAGTGTATCCAGGTCAAAATCAGTATTATTGCCCAGGTTGATGTAACTTTATTTTCCTACAGTGTGTGTGTGTGTGTGTGTGTGTGTATGTGTGTGTGTATGTGTGTGTGTGTGTGTGTGTGGCTGCTTGAATTGAGGAATCGGAGAGCCGAGTTCGAATTCTAGTCAAATCCATTACATTCACTTATGTGCTAATACCTTGGCAAAGATATGAATCCTCTTCTTCTGTCCTCCCCCACCCAGCCATGGGTAATTAGCAGGTCAGACCCGTTTCTCTAGCTTTAGATCGCAACTGATCTACCGCAGAAAGAAATGGCAACCTACTGCGGAAAAAAAATCTGCCTCATCAGTCATGTATCGAAGGATACATCATCGCCTAAGCGTGTATCACGCATGACACTTAACTGACTAATATATATATATATATATATATATATATATATATATAGAGAGAGAGAGAGAGAGAGAGAGGGAGAGAGTCAGAATCAGAAGAGCCTAAAAGATTAAAGCATAGCAACTGTGAGTTCAATTCCAGGATTGGGTAGTTCAGATGTAAACTCAGTAAAAACACGGCGAATACAAAATCAGATGAGATATCCCTCCACATGAGCACAGCAGACGAGAAAAATCTACCCATGTACATTAAATAAAGGATCCCGTTCGAACGACAGGCACCCGAAGGAGACCAGAACACATAACAGTCTAAACATTATGATAATAACAACAATGATGAGGACATTAGTCCAACTATATAATGTAAATAATACTTATATACAAATTATTCTTTTCTAGTAATAATGGGTTGGAAAGAATTAAGAGTAAGAGAATATGATTTGATATATATTTGAATAGAGATAGCTTCGGATTCTTTGTTGCCACGAATGTTTCTTTTTTCATTTCTCAATGAATTTCCACGACAATTGTATTACAAGTTCAAAGACAACCTCAGTTAAACATTTGTAGGTCACTAGCACTTTATAAGTAAAGTGTTAGTGGCTTAGAAATGCTTAACTTGTAAAGAAATTAGCAAACCCATGATTACGCATTATGCAGCTATCATGAAAATATTGGCAAATGATCAAGAAAGCAAATCAAATCTCTGTCCTGTTATATTGATCTGCAAACAGCTGCATAGCAGCAAGATTATTTACATTCCGACTTTCAAAAATAATCCCCAAAGGCCAGTCTCTATGCTTATGAACTGATATATATATATATATATATATATATATATATATATATATATATATATATATATATATACAGTGGTAGCAAAAGGTATTTAACACATTAGTTTTTCTTACATATCTCAAAAAATAACAGATCAATTTCAATGAAACTTATAGGAAATATTTAAACGAACATTGTCGATCAAAACATTTTTTGAGATATGTAAGAAAAACCAATGTGTTAAATACTTTTGCTACCCACTGTATATATATATATATATATGCAAGATATATATATATATATATATATATATATATATATATATATATATATATTGTGTATATTTTTCATTGATGCATGTTTCATCTAACTTATTATAAAACCCAGGTTGTGTGTGTGTGTACGTTTATATATTGGATCGGATTTCCTACATTTTTCAACCGATTTCAACAAAACTTCACAGAACTACGTAAAATTACCCGGTGGTGGTTCTGACAGCGCCCAAAATGGGAAAAACACAATTGTTTTTGCACGGGCCATTTATGCAGATTTTTAGCAGTCTTTGGACGATGTTTTGTTGCCGAGCCACCAAATAAAGCAAATGGTCCAGTTTCTGATAGCACTAACGCTTGACTATCTAACAAGTACCAAATTGTTTGCAAGACTGTCAAAGCTGCTTGACCAGGGAACCATAAACGGGGGTACCAAGGGACAGGATTTAGCCCTCTGAACACACATTCACTGGCGCAGTATGTACAGTTTTGGTTTGATTCAAATGAAATTTACGACACACTTGCAGCATATTATCGCCTTTATGTGTGTCAAATTTCAGATTTTTTTGGCAAAAATAACCGTAGCTGCACGCGGATCAATCTTTTTTGTAACTTCCTTACACACACACAGCTGCGTACAACCGAGCCCACGTGTCGATACCGAGACTGTTGCAAGCCCATTGGTCGCTTTCACAAAGCTTGACCTTGAGGCCTGTCCAATCATCGCACAGGATTTCTCACACGTTATAGCGCCCGCGTGATCGCGCGTCAGCTTATATGTAAGTGCGCTCAAGGTCAACCACCTCTATTGCGTGACTCAGGCGTGCTTTCACATTTTTGCGTTTATTGTTGCCCGCATGCACGCACTTGACTTACTTTATTCGCCTACTTCGGACACCGCAAGTTGTTGATTACGTGTTCTAGCTGCTTTTTTGTTTCAACCCAACCCCACACACGTTAGCCAATTGTACTAAAAACCTATTTCCTTTTGGATTTACCCTTGGTTTACCTTTTTAAATTTCCACTTTTTTAGTTTCGAGATCTGCTTCTTACTAACATCTGAACTCATTTTACTGGGTGTTCCCTTTTTGTGTCTACGTTAGCAGTGCACGTTTTTTCGTTTTGGATTTGTCGAAATCTCTTTTTAAGCTTTACCCTCTTTGACGTTTTTACTGTTTGGATGCCACCTAAAAGGAGGAAACTTTTGGGACGGCGCACGGCAGCTGCCTCCGCTGCTAGAGCAGCGAGGGCGAGTGAAACCCCTGAACAGACTTCTTTGCGTCTTTCACGGATGGCCTCGAGCTCAGCTGCTCGCTTACCTACGGAAAGCGACGCTGCGCGGACTGAAAGATTGACTTCAGCGGCTTCGACCATGTCTGCACGCCGCGCCAGGCTTTCAGTTGAAGAACGTTCACTTCAGAATTCACAGGACGCAGTCCGCGTGGCTAGCTTGAGGGCTTCATAGTCCCCAGCACAGAAAACCCTTCGTCGTTTGCGGGATGCCACCGCCAAAGCTTGCTCCAGGGGTTGAGAAACAAACAACTTCACGTCATCTTAGGAATACTAGGGCTTCGAAAAACCCCAAGAAACCGCTCATCGTCGCTTTAGAAATGCCCTATCCACCGCATCTGCCAGAGCCTTAGAAAGCCCTACACAGACCACTGTTCGTCGCGTTAGAAATGCCCGCTCCACCACGTCTGCCAGAGCCTTAGAAAGCCCTGCACAGACCACTTTCCGTCGCGTTAGAAATGCCCGCTCTACTGCATCTGCTAGAGTCCTAGAAAGCCCTGCACAAACCACTGTTCGTCGCGTTAGAAATGCCCACTCTACTGCATCTGCCAGGGCTGTAGAAAACTCTGAAGTACGCCGTCAACGACTCGAAAACATTAGCAACTTCGAGCCGTTGATTAACCTGGGCTTTGTTGCTCTGGGGGCAAAATCAAACTCCCTTCTTTAGACGAACCTCCCCAGCCACTTAGGAACCTCCTTCTGGGTACAACTTCGGAGTCAACGCATTTTCTTGAAGCAATACGGAAGTACAACTCTTGTTTCCAGATGACGTCTTTTGGTGCGAAGGCTATTAGTGAAGGGGGATGGATGCCTACTTTCAAAGTGCAAGGCCAGGTTTACTACTTAATGGGATCACTTTTGGCTGATCAGGGAAAGCCACCTCAGTTCCTACAAATTTACTTTCTCGCTGGCTAGAACGAGCAGGTTGATGCGCGTCTCGGCATTCTGCCTAGCGATATTTCCGTCGGTCCCCGTAGAGACATTCTGTTCCGTCTACAAGACATGCTTCACGACACTAACAGTTACATCCGAAGCTTAAAGTTTGCGTTGCAAAACAACTCTTCGCCCTCTTTCAGCGTTGTCATCGATGCAGACAGACGGCCTCACGGTGAGCATGAGCGTCGCTTCAATGCTCCTGTATGTAATGAAATTGCCGCAGTCATCCACGATGAGGAGCATAACAGCCGTGACATTGTCATAAGGTACCGGGGCGGTGGTTTGCGCCGCATCAGTGAAACCCACCGTTCATACGACTGTCTCCAGTACCCCCTTCTTTTTCCATACGGAAGCGATGGGTACCACTTCAAAACCCCAATATACCAGGCAAGCAGCTATTCCATGTCGACCTCAAAGACGGTCTTTTGTAGGGCTTACTACGCCTACATGTTTATGGTTAGGGAGGGTAAATTTAACCACTTGCACAGGTGCCGTCAACTATTTCTTCAATTCGCTGTTGACATGGCTCCAAAAATGGAGTCGGAGAGGTTGGGATTCATCAAGTTAAACCAATCCAAACTTAGAACCGACTCCTACATTCACCTTCGTGATGGTGATCCACGCAATCTCGGCAAACCGTGCATTTTGGCTTCCTCTCACACTGGTGCATGAAAGGACACAAGACGCAATGACCTATGTCCGTCATTACGGGAGGCCTCATTTGTTCGTCACGTTCAAGTGCAATCCGAAATGGGTTGAAATCACACGCGAACTTTTCCCAGGTCAGCAGTACTCAAATCGCCCTGACCTAATTGCCCGTGTTTTCCGGTTACAGCTGTGTAAGCTTATGGATTTAATCCTTAAGGGCAAGTCTTCGGACGCGTTAAGTGTCATATGCATACAATGGAATGGCAGAAACGCGGTTTTCCTCATGCCCACATTCTGCTGTGGCTCAACGATAAGGTTGACGCAAACAAAATAGACGATTTTATTTCTGCTGAAATTCCGGATCCTGCGCTGGAGCCTTTGTTCCACGAAATCATTTAAAACAATATGATACACGGTCCCTGTGGCGCGAATTACGAAAAAAGGTCATGTTGGTCAAGAGGCCCCACTTGCGCAAAGGGTTACCCCCGTAAGATTATCTCAGAAACAAGGACTGCGATGGATGGTACAGACGTAGAAGATCCGTTGAGGGCGGCAGAACTGTGGGAGTTAAGGGGCACACTCTGGACAATCGTTGGGTGTTGCCTTATTACCCGCTGCTGTCCAAGACATTTGGAGCCCACATAAACGTTAATTACTGCCACTCGGTTAAGTCAATAAAGTACATCTGCAAGTACCTTAATAAAGGCAGTGATGCTGTTGTTTTCGGTATCTGGCGCGACAATTGCGTTGATGAGGTGGCCGATTACGTCGCTGGATGCTACCTCAGCAGTAGCGAGGCCTTTTGGCAAATTTTCGGATTCCTCATACACCAAAGGGCCATTGTGCAGCTTGCTGTTCACTTAGAAAATGGACAGAGAATGTACTTCACCGAACAAAACGTCCAGCAGGTTGCGGAAAACCCTAAAGACACAACCCTAACGGCTTTCTTTAAATTATGCTCAACAGATGCTTTTGTCAAAACATTGATATAACTACGATGTAAGGTCTAACTCTTGCCTTGGACGTGTTTATACTGTCCCCCCCCCAGCCAGCAGGAGTGCTTTTACCTCCGCCTTCTACTTCATGAAATTGCTGGGCCAACGAGTTTCACAGATATTCGCACTGTCAACGGCATAGAGTGACAGTCTTATAGAGAGGCATGCTTCCGTTTGAGATTGCTTGAAGACGACTCCCAATGGGATGCAGCCATGGCGGAGGGTGAACTTCTCAGAACGCCATCACTGCTTCGAACGCTGTTCGCCATTTTGCTTTTGTGATGCGAACTAAGCGATCCTCTGTCGCTCTGGCTAAAGTACAGAGAATCCATGTCAGAGGATGTGCTGTTCCCCGTTCAGCGTAACAGCCCAGGAGTTGAATGCGGTTTCACTGACTTTATATTCAACAGAGCGCTGGTGGCCCTAGAAGATGTTGTTTTCGAACTGGGAGGTGCCTCTTTACCAATTTACGGTTTACCACCACCGCTCAGAGACGGTTTTGACGCTGTACCAACTGAGTTATTTCGAGAAACATCCTATTCCATCGAGGCGCTGAACGCATACATTACCGAAAACGAGTCCAAACTTCTACCTGATCAGAGGGTTGCTTTCACTACCATAACAAACAGGGCAAACGGGTCCAGTGGAGGTATATACTTTTTAGATGCGCCCGGAGGAATTGGCAAAACCTTTGTTACTAAATTAGTCCTGGCAGAGGTATGACGTCGTGGGGAGATCGCTATTGCGGTCGCATCTTCCGGGATTGCTGCAACGTTGCTACCGGGAGGTAGAAACGCTCATTCGGCTTTTAGGTTGCCGCTTGATCTATGCCGGTCACAAACTCCTCTCTGCAACATAACAAAGAATTCGCCACAGGCTGAAGTTCTGCGGAGATGCAAACTTATAATTTGGGATGAGTGCACGATGGCACACAAGGGCGCCCTTGAGACACTTGATCGAAGTCTCCAAGACATCCGCGACTCCTCCGACCCCATGGGTGGAGTAACGCTTCTCCTCGTCGGCGATTTTAGGCAGACTCTACCTGTTATTCCTAAAGGTACACGCGCTGACGCTGTCCGCGCCTGCCTGAAGTCGTCTGCCTTTTGGCGCCACGTGGAGACTCTTAAACTGAGCACGAACATGCGTGCCTACTTGAATGGGGACTCCAGATCCGCTGACTTCGCACGGGACCTTCTTGCTCTTGGGGAGGGGAAATGCCATCTGACACACAGGGTTTTGTGCAGAGGGATCAGCTTGCCACCACTGTTGAATCACCGGATGAATTGATGAATGCAGTCTTCTACAACCTATCCACTAATTTTGCCGATGCCGATTGGCTTGCTGGGAGGGCCATATTGGCACCGAAGAAATGTACAGTTGATTCCATCAACCTTAAACCTTTGGATTGCATTCCAGGGCAATGTCATGTTTATAAGTCCATCGACAGAACTTCCGATCCATCTGAATTAGCTGAGTATCCCATAGAAGTTTTGCCCTTTAGCCGTCCGGACTCCCACCTCATATTCTTTGGCTCAAAGTTGGTGCTCCGATTATGCTAATCAGGAATTAGCTCCCACCTAAACAGTGCAACGGCACTCGCCTCATTATTAAATCCCTTTCTCCGAACCTGAATGAGGCGACCATTGCAACTGGCTGCGGCAAGGGGGAAGTCGTGATTCCCAGGATGCATCTTCTGCCGTCAGACGCAAGCATACCAATCAATTTTCGTCGCTCACAATTTCCCGTGAAGCTTTGCTTTGCTATGTCCATTAACAAATCACAAGGACAGACGCTTAGCATCGCAGGTCTGCATTTACGTGAGCAGTTCTTCTCTCACGGCCAACGTTGAGTGCTCATGAGTTGGGTTTAAGGACAGGGTTTTCATTTACTCTCCCAACAACTGTGCTAGAAACATAACCTACATGGAGGTCCTGTAGACATCCCGCCCGGTAGCGTTTAAGCGCCATGCACACATATGCAGTCCGATTGCATGGCAATTTTTTTGTTTGTCATATTGGTTTTAACGTTATGTCGTCGTAGTCTCCACTTGCCATTACTAAGACATCTTTGCAATGGTTATCCAGCTCTTTTGCTGCCTTCTGACTTTCATACCTTCACCAGCCATCATCGCGTTTGTTTGTACACTATGCTAACCTCACCGTATTCAGTTGCAACACAAGCTGCTAGACACATGAACACCGGCATTAGACATGATTGCTCCACTAAAGTTCCGGTTTCATTAACAGTTGATCGGAGCACCTGCAGTTCGTACCAGTGCATACAAGCACATTCACACTTGAGAAGCTTCGGAGTTCATTTAATTGTCACAAAAGTCGAGTGCGTCTACGAAATTCAGGCTTCTGCTTCCATATACACTTTACGGCTGCCATGGGTGAAACATGTCAGCCATACGGCTCTATTGTTTTGTTTGTAGTCGTGTAAAAAAAAGTAAAAACACACGCCAAGTACGGCCACCCCGGTCAGTTTTCATGGGCTCTCAGCCGTGATGTTGACTGTGACTGAAGAGAAGGCCCTTTTTCATTGCAATTGAGGCGCTCGGCCGTACGACGACACCGGTCCGGTTCCATGAGCTCTCAGCGTGATGTTGACTGCGACTGAAGAGATGGCACTTCTCCATTGCAATTACGATGCTCGGCCTTACGGCTACCCCCGTTGCGGTTTTAAGGGCTGTTAGCCGCGATGTAGATAGTGACAGATCAGAATAAAGAAAGTTATATAACAGAAATTTTCTTACCATGCCACCCCGTCACTGTTCGCTCTTCTCTCCGTTTTACGGTTCTGCTTTGTGGCAGCGCCGTCTTTTGGGCATAAGACGCGTCTTTTAGTTAGACAAGCGGTTTGTTTGTGATTGCGCACGTCACATACTTTATGTCTATGGCTTCCTCACCGCACGTTTTCCCTTCAATCCCTATATATGTTGCAACTGAATCGTGGTTTCTTGAATACTTACAACAAGTGCTTCAAGTAATGCTTAACGGTCCAATTGGTTAAAGCATTAACTGCTGACAGCAGGCCCTTTCAAATTTTGCATGTTCTTAATGAACCCTTGGTAAAAGTTAACTAGGCCGAGGAAGCTTTGTAACGCTTGAATGTTATCTGGGGCCGGCATGTTTCTGATCGCGTTGGCTCTTTCTGGATCCGGCCGACGACCGTCTTTATTTATGATGTGCCCTAAGTATTTAAGCTCTGGTAAGAAAAAGTCACACTTTTCCTCCTTAACCTTAAATCCGTATTCTTGTATCTTTTCGAATACGTTTATTATATGGTCCCGGTGCTCTGCCATAGTTTTACTGGTAACCAGTATATCATCCAAATAAGCTGTTGCGTAGTCAAGGTCGCCCAGCATGGCGTCCATGACCTGGAAAATTGCAGGCGCAACCTTTACTCCAAAAGCCAGTCTGTTGTATTTGTACAACCCTCTATGGGTGCTTATGCAGAGCAATTTGGAACTTTCTTCTTCCACCTCTATCTGAAGGTATGCGTCCGAGAGGTCGATTTTAGAAAAGTTTTTTCCACCATTGAGTTTATTGAAAATTTCTTCAGGGCTTAGGAGAGGATAGTGGTGATCTTGCAAGGCATCGTTTAACCCTGTGGAAAAATCTGCGCATACTCGTATTTGATTGGATTTCTTTTTTACGTAGACCGTAGGTGCTGCCCACTCGCTGGAATCTGTTTTTGACAGAATACCTGCTTGTTCGAGTCTATCTAACTCTTTGTTGATTTGTTCTAGAGCAGCGAAAGGGACATTCCGTTTCTTTTTGAATACCGGTTGTGCACCATCCTTCACCTTGAACTTAGCTTTCATTTTAGTACATTTCCCGAGGCCGCCAGAGAAAACCTGGGGAAATTGTTGTTTGAGTTCCTTTTTTAGATTGACCAAATTGGACGTTGAACTTTGTATCTTGCGACAAAATGTACTCATGGGGCAATCCCAAAGATTGAATTTTTCTATCCAATCAGTTCCAAATAGGTTATCTGAAGTTTTTAATACGTAGGCTTTGAGCTTTT